CCACTTGATGGTTTGTTTTCTCAGAGTATGGCCAGTCCACCTCCACTTCTTCCTGCATATTTGTTGCACAATTGATTCCTGCTGGTTTGGTTCGTTCATTGCCGCAGATCCCTGTTGCTGATCTTTTCTGGCCGGCCATCTGATATTGAGTAGTACTGAGCGAAGACAGCTGTTGATGAACGTCTTTAGTTTGTTTGAAGAGCTCTTCGTTACGTGGCGCGAAGTCTCTCATCCGTATAGTAAGTAGCACTGACTTCATATTGGATTTGAAAAGCCGGATCTTATTTTCATTTTCATGCTGAGTGCAGCTGATCTCCACACAGACTTGAGAGTAATGAAAGCTTGCCTTGCTTTCCTGATCCTCGTTTTGATATCCTCGCCAGTTCCGTCCTCCTGTAGTTGAAACAATGCTTCCCAGGAAGGTAGGTAGGTAAAGGAGGTTGCTTCTCTCAGATTTTTCCCATTTATGCTGATTATTGTCTTTAGTTGTTGCTGTGGCTGTTGCTCAGGAATTTTCATCACCTACTTCTGCTTTCTCTATGTTCACCTGAAGTCCTATCTTCTCTGGATGCTTCTCCTTTCGCCAACTTGTTGCTTTTTACTTGCATATCTTCCAGTTTGTATGGGAAATCAGACACATATCACCATTGGCGAAGTCCAGATCCTACAAGTTTCTTGTGTGGGTCCATTTTATGCCTGTTTCCTCCTTGCCCGGTCCGCTTTCTGTCGCATTATCCAGTCTACCGCCCTCGATCAGGAAAATCATTGGAGATAGTAGGTAGCCAGCCAGCCAGCCTTGTCTTACTCCCGTCTTCACAAGCTACACTAGTGATTAGCATTTTAAAAATAATCACCTTATTCCAAAGATTGATACATATGCAGAATGTAATGATATTACTTGCAATAAGTTATTGTCCATTATCAAACGATAAAGTATACGCTGTATTCTAAAATACGATTCTTCACAAAAACACAAATAAACTAAATATGGTATGGCTGAACTTTCATACTTAGCCATACGAGTGTTAATTCTTATTAAATTTCTTCTGGTTTCCCTGAAAAGTGATACATGGAGGTGGCTGAGATTAAAGACAACGTTTAGTATCAGACAAAATAAACTTAACCGACTACTTTCAGGAATTAGAATTTAATTCAGTAACAGTGCCAGTTAATTGGATGTCAAAGGCATATTATTGATCCAACTCACGGCCATTAAAGTCCTTCTTAATATAATATATACTTCGTTTAGAAAAGCACAGGGAAGCATAAAAGAAAAAAGGATAGAATAGGTAGCATACAAGAGTGTAAGAACTGCTTAAAAATAATTTGAATTATTAAGTCAATAGGTCTCATCTTCCCTAAGTAGTTAGTCAAACGAAGGATTGTTTTAGAAATCAAGAAAGTGTACGGCGACCGACAAAGAGTGGAAGAGAAATCTATACCATATCCGAACAAGGTAAATGTGTTCTCTTATCACTTTGATTTGACCAGCAATCACTACTAGAAGACGTGAGCAGTTGTCAGCCCCACCAGCAGTTATATATATATATATATGAAAACAAAACACGTAGATCAGCGAAGAGTCTCTTTTCGGCGAATTCATCTTCTTAGCTGTACAATCGCAAATATATATGCATTGTTTTGTATGTATGTGTACATTAAGTTTGTCAAACAAAGTTACAATTGGTTAAGGTTAATTTTAACTAAACAAGTGAAGGTTGGTAATACAGGTCAAGAAAATTAAGTGAAACTAGGGTAGTAAAAAAGGTGATGAGTTGTCACAAACAGTTGTAATAATAATAGTGAGTTTTACTCAGGATGCACATAGAAACAAAGTAGAAATTATGTAAGAGATCTAAGTGGATACAAGAATTACAGTTGCTTAAGGTTATTTTAACTAAACAGGTAAAGGTTGGTAATATAAGTCAAGGCAATTAAGTGCTAGGATAGTAACAAAGGTGATGAGTTGTCACAAACAGTTGTTAAAAGAAGTTATGCAATAATAATATCAATATTTTGATGAGTGAGTTTTACTCAGGATGCACATAGAAACAAAGTAGATAATACGAAACTATGTAAGAGATCTAAGTGAATACAAGAATTATAAGCAACTAAGGAACAGGCAAAGAAACAAAGTCAAGTTATCAGAATAAAATAAAATAAAAAATCAAAACATTGTTACCATGAGAGTAGAAGTGGTTGAGTAATCTTCTTTTGTATGCACAGCTCCGGTTTTTCCATGTGAATGGCTAGAGCTTCAGCGATACAAAGGAGACGAAACCGTATTGCCTTTGACATGTTGTTCTTGACTCGGTAGATTACTTTGAAGGAGGCGTTCGTTGAAATGCAATGATCAGTGCTGACCAGGTGTTCAATTATCGCACTCCTTATTGCACCAGTATTGCCTTTTCGCAACCATGCTGGATAGTGTTCTTGAATTCTCTTGGACAGGATGCGCGTCGAACGACCGATGTACTTGGCTCCACAGCAGCAGGTGAACTGGTATATGCACATAGAAGTGGCCAGATGCGGGATCTTGTCCTTGAGGCTTCTGCGGGTTAGTGGGCGACTGGAGAACACTATTCTTAGCGTTGCTGCAAAGAATGTTCTTCTCAGAGATGATGTGATCCTTCTCTTGAGAATATCGCTTGCTAAATCTCCCTTGAAATCCAAGTTCATGTAGATTTTCTTTTTAGGCGCAGTCAAAGTTTCGTTTTTCCGAATTATTGGTTTCATATTTTTGTCGATAAATCTTATTGGGTAACCATTCTGGATGAATATTTCTCTCAGAATATCTAATTCTGTTTCCATAACGGCGGGACTACAGATGCGTCGGATGCGGGAAGCAAGTGATTTAATTAAATTCCGCTTTTATTGAATGGGCACCCAGCTATAGAAGCTTGTTAGTCGACCATTCCACGTAGGTTTTCTATGGATTGATCTTCTTAGGCTCCCATCAGCTCTTCTTGTCAGTTCCACATCAAGAAACGGAATTTTTGACTCGTTCTCCATTTCAAGAGTGAATTTTATTGCTGGATGGCAATTGTTAAATGTTTTCAGCAGTAGATTGGGGTCGTTGTTGTTGTCACAAATAATGAAAATGTCATCCACGTATCTTTTATACAGTTGCAAATTGTCGATACTTGACTTTAGTGAACCTCTCTCGAGGCTTGCCACGAAGCAGTCTGATAGTAGTGGACCCAACGGAGATCCCATTGCAATACCATCCTTTTGTCTGTAGATGGTGTCGTTGTATGTGAACTGGACGTTCAGAGTGCATCTCAATAATAATTCTTTCAAGTATGTTGTCGGTATTCCAATATCGAGGTGGTTGTCATCTATATATCTGCATATGAAGCAGACCGTTTCTGTGAGTGGGACATTAGTGAAGAGTGACTCGATGTCGAAGGATAGCATAATTTGGTTAGATACATTCGTGTCTTGTATGCACTCGATGAACTGGAAGGTGTCACGGAGTGAGTGCGTACATAATTGCTCCCTTACAGGTTCCAGAATATCTGCTAGCCATTGTGCAATAGAGTGGTAAGAGGAACCTGACATATCCAGAATTGGGCGAAGTGGAAGACCAACCTTGTGTACCTTTGGTAGACCATAAAGTCTTGGTATTATTGAACCTGTTGGCCGGATCTGGTCGTAAATATCCCCACTAATTAGTTGACTGGCCTTCATTCTCTTCAAGACGTCTGTGAGCTGCTTCTCAATCTGTTCCGTCTTGTTTCTTTCATTGGAAGCTTGGGAAAATTTGTCTTCATTTGACAGTATATCGTTCATTTTCTCGATGTAGTCTCTTCGATTCAGAAGCACTACATCAGCACCCTTGTCGGGCCGAGTTATAAGCAGATCTTTGTTATCTCTCAACTGTTTTAATTCCTCTCGGTGCCACTTCGTCAGGTGGTTGCGGACTTTTGATTTTGTATTCAAGTATTGATGGCAGCAGTCCATTATTGTTGACTTGAATCTCTGTAATTCGTCTTCAGAAGTTGGGCTGAGATCGTGCGTTTGGCTGATTAGATTTTCAAACTGGACCTGAGTATGGAGTTTGTCGGCGTTGAAATTTATATCGCGGAATTTAGGGCCCAGAGATAGAACTTCCAGTTGCACGTCGGTTAAAGGTACTGAGGAATAATTGAACACAAATCTACGCTTGTCTGATTTCCCGAATCTTACCAGGTACACTATTATTATATATATATGTAATATTATTATTGTTTCTTTTAATTCCTAGAGGAATATAGGGATTCAGCCACACTTCCACATTGCGTTCGGTTCTCCGCCAACGGTTTCACCTGGCTTCACGTCTGCCCACATGCTTTCATCTCCTCATCATATGACGACCAACTCGCCGCTTCTCATTTGTTTCCTTCTGTGCTGGTTCGCTCGCAGAGGTCCCTCCCTGTTGCTGGTCTATTCTGGCCGGCCGAAGAAGACAGCTGTTTATGAATGTCTGTAGTTTGTTAAAAGTGCTCTTCGTGACGCGGCGCTAAGTCTTTGATCCTTAGAGTAAGTAGCACTGACTACACATCGGGGTTGAAATTCCGCATCTTATCTTACATGCTGAGTGCAGTGTTGATCTCCACATAGACTTGGAAGTAATGAAAGCTTGCCTTGCTTCCCTGATCCTCAAGTTTCTGGATTCGGGCGATTCTTGAATAGTGAATGTTTTCATAGACTGTGGTTCTCGCGTAACACCACCTACTAACCATATCAGAGACCGAGAACAGAATTATTTACGAGCAAAGCATGCGTTTCTCTTCCTTATCGGTGTAGTGATAGCAAGTCATTTACCGCAACAACAATTATTTCACATTTAAACCCAACAAAACCACAGAAAGTAAGCCATAGGACATTTAACTTCGACTTAGTCAAAGATGGTTGACATAATAAAGCAAAAGGGAAAGCATAATCTTTTCATGCATATTTATTTAAGTAATACATTTCAATTAACAGAAAAAATGTCGTTTTAATTCGCTGAATCAGTATTATTTACCACCATGCTCTGCTTTCGACCCCCTTGAAGCTGATGTCTTTATTGGTTTAGATTCCAAATCTCTGAATTGTTTTTTAGCTAAGGATAGAAAGCAGAAGAAAAAGGCATATACATCTTCAAGTACTGTATAGGTCAGTGTTCATGGGAAAAACTTCAAATTTTTTTTTCTAAATTGCCCGAATCTCGAAGTTTTTAAAAAGCTTTAAAAATGAGCATATCTATTTATCAAGCAACCATGGCGCCCATGTGTTTTCCCCAATCTTTGTGAAGTCTGTACTTTAGTTGGTTGAAAAGTCTTTGACATTATCGATACATTTAGCGTTTGCCATAACACATATTCAGCATCACTTTGGTGTCGACCGTCCATCCTTTCTCACATATTCACGTGCTGATGGTTTTGTTGGTTGGTGGGGCCGTATTACTGGTTGTATCAGTTCAGCTAGCTAAAATCAAACCATAACTTATGCTACCAACAGACAATGCCCTCCAGTGGCTCTTTTAACCATAGCAGACAGTGCTCTTAGGCACTCGATACGATGTGCGCCGGGTTCGGGTCTCGATAAAAAATACCGTCACTTACTTTAAGTTCAGGTACATCCGGATGATGATACCTAATTAGGGCAAAGTGCGCCTCCCAGATTCGGTTACCGGTCACCATTGCCCAGGTTACTTCATAATGAGATTAGACAGAGATAAGGTGAAACTCTACAGTACTCAACTTTTAATCTGATGCCTCTGATTTGTTACCACAACTCAAAAATATTAGTCGTAGTTCGGCTGCGAAGGAGGTCTTCTTAAGTGAGCGCGACGGTCGATTTTTTAGTGTTTCCGCAGATATATCTCCAGTGAATTGAAAGTTCATGTAGAGTAGTTTTTTCGAGACGCTAAGCATGGGCGGTTGCAGAAGCGATGGCGATTCACTTGCTAAGCCCTGAACTCTGCATACAGAAGAAGATCGTTCAATCACTACACTTGCAATGGACGTAATCTATCTTATCACCTGACAAGTGGATTCTACCTAATCTTTTTATTTCTTTCTGTCTCTTCATTAGTATTATTTTGTCTTCTCAATTGGGATATTTTACATTTTCAACTTTCTTGTTCTCTACCCCCACCCGATTTAATTTCTACACCTCACTACCACTGTTACTGACTTGACCAACGCTCAATTTCTGGTCATTTATGTTACGTCATCCAACTTATTTGCTCAATTTTACTTCTAATTTAAATGGCATTATTCTCTACCCCACTTCTACTTAGTCTCTACCTGTAATCACCTCTGTTGCTATCCTGACCTAAGTTGAAACATTTTAGTCAATTATATTACGTCAACTAACTTACTAACTCAATCTTACTTTAGTTGCTGTCTGACTAACTTTGTTTCTATATTAGATCATTTTTGTACTACTTGATCAATTATCTAAACTTGACAAACCTCATGTACACACACAGACAAATAATTATATATAAATGCGATTGTACAGCTATGTGGATGAATTCGCGAAAAGAGTCTCTTCGCTGAACGTCTCCTCGTTTTTTTTATCGAATTATTTTAACGAGTTGATCACGAACTGATATCAGTTAGAGAACCATTGAAAACTGGCTACAGGATGGAGATTCCTGGAGTTGTAGTGGGAATGCGTGACCACTGAGGTCCATCCGGTCAAGTGTGAGGATGGATTTCCCCCCGATGACATGAGTTAGGGTCGCGCTAAGCGCATCACGAATTGGTAGAAGTTAGAATTCACGGGCTGGCCATTGAATCAGGTCATGTCCCAGTGGCCATTTCGCCTTGTAACTGGAAGGTGCTAGGTTTGAACCCCAATGGGGTGGGTGAATGCTGGCGATGAGTCTCAAACTAGGATAAAACAGGTGTTCAGTCCTCCCTGGTCGGTTTTCAATAGTACTCTAACTGATATCAATCCGTGATCAACTCGTGAAAAACAAAACTAATCCCTACAAACCAACTATAGAGAATTAATATGCGGCGGTTTTACTTATTTCACGGATTGATCTCACTCAGAGAACCACTGGAAATCAAAGAGCAATGAACAGCTGGATTTCCAAGCGTTAGACACCCGGCGGGGTTCCCACACAGAACCTTCCAGTTACAAGGCAGGCTCATAGACCATCAAGCCACTGGGACGCTATCCTATACTCCATAATATTTAGACTACATCAATTCAGAAATTTTTAGCATGATCATCAGCTAATATCATCGGAGAGCTTTTTCCTCGTAATCCACCTGCTAAACTCCACTGGTCACAGCTGGTCACCATAGTTAGTAGGTCCCATATTGGTAGAAGTTGAAATTCTCCGACTGAATTGTCTACAAGCTTGTCTTGTAACCGGATGCTCCTAGGTTCAGACTCTCGTGGATGCCTACCGTCGAAACGTCATAGTACAGGACTAAACAGTCTTTTAGTATTCTCAGTGGTTTTCAGTGGTTCTCTAAATGAAATGCATCTATCGTGAACAAAACTGAAAGTTCCAAATAAGACGGAATTACTATCCTTCATCAAACTGCTGGCCACCATCAACCATATGATATCATTTTACCAAAAGGTATCGTCAAAGGGTCTTTACCAGAAGCCAGCATTTCAACAGAGATAGAGCATTACCATCCAAGCGAAAGTTCAAAATCAGCATTTCAACAAACTAATCAAAATATTTTTAAAAAAATAGTGAAAATAAATAATCTATGGTTGTTTGACTTCATCTTCTAAATTCACTGAGGACGATTTTTATGAGACCAATAAGTATGATGATAAATAAAATCCGAATTGTTTTGCTGATGAAGCTTACACAGCGAAACGTTCAAAAAATCTTGTTTTAATTTCTTCTTAAAAACACTGGGATTATTTTAAGTAATTCAGAATAATTCAGTGTGACTGGGCGCTCAAATTATTCCAAGAAATTCGTAACAACTAAGGTCTGGAAACATGAGACTATAATGCATTTTGATGTGGTTGTGTTCTCTGAGCTGGATAGTTAATATGCGAAGCTTTAATCACCCTACTGGGCGACATCTTCAGCGCATACTTCAATTTGAAGTGAGCTTTTAGATTTCGCCACGAGTTTATTAATCACCTCTCCTGGTGACCTTGGACGTGGTTGGTTGTTTTTGTGCGTTTTCACACCTTCTAGTCTACTTGTATTGGAACTGATTGTTTCTTTGACTCGAACTTTGACCCTTTGTGTGAGGTTTCCTACTTATCAGTTGATAAACTTTGTCTATCTCAATATGTCTACCGATTGATGATTCACTGGAATGCCAGGCTTCTAAAAATTCTCTAACATTCTTGTTGTTTCCTCTGTCTAATATTTGAACGTTGTCCCAGTTGAACTGATGTCCGTGGTTGTCTGTATGTAGTGATATGAGGGAGTGGATGTCATGTCTTCTGACGGCTAGCTTATGTTCGTGGATACGGAGACGAAAGGGACGTCCACTTTGGCCAATGTAGTGTTTTTCGCAGTTGTTACAATTTATCTTGTAGATGATGTTGGTTTTATCTTCTTCCGCTGTTAAGTCGTTTGGTTGACATAGAATTGAGTGAAGTGATTTTGTTGGTTTGTGTGCGACGTCAATTTATAAAGGTTTGACGAGTCTTGCAGTGATACAGTGATGCAAGTAGCCTAGAAGGTGTGAAAACGCACAAAAACAACCAACCACGTCCAAGGTCAGCGGGAGAGTTAATAATAAATAGTATATTCTCATTTTTGTACATGAGAGACGCCAGTTTACTCATGGAGAAATCTAAAAGCTCACTTCAAATTGAAGTATGCGCTGAAGACGTCACCCAGTAGGGTGATGAAAGCTTCGCAAATTAACTATCCAGCTCAGAAAACGCAACCACATCAAAATCACCCACCTGAGCTACAAATCTTCTCCATCATACCATTAATTATGTTTGTAATTTAAGCTTAACTAAACGCTCCTGGTATTTCACATACATAAGATACTGAAAATGCAACTGACCTTCTCGACGAATGATATCTGCAAGTTCAGGGAAGTGATTCGCCAAAGCTAAATCAGATGGTCTTTGACCAAATAAATTAAACTCCAATAGATTTGCTCCATTCCTTATAAGCCAGTCTACTGTAGCTAAAAATAAATAAATAAATAACACCATTAATGTAAAGCTAATTTCAGTAGTATAAACATTACTAGAGTATAATCAAAAGAAAATGATTTCATCAGCTGACAGTTGGCATCGATAATCCCTTCCTCAGGCTCTACAGTTATACATCCATGAATATTAGAGTACAAATAGCCACCCACCCAGTAAAGGTAAATGAAAATTACATTAGATAATGTAACGACGTACATATATATGATGGAATGATAGTCCTATAGTTCACACTGTCAGCTGAACTCATTTAAAGTGTACAGTCATTCAGAACACAAAATGATGTGTGAATAGACACCTGAATGACATTCTGATGTTTTCATAGTTGATTTGTAACGATTACATTTGTTTTTACGAGGCATAAAATGGACCCACGCAAAAAACTTGGAGGATCTGGACTTCGCTGATGATGATATATGTCTGATTTTCCACAAACTGGAAGACATGCAAGCGAAAAGCAACAAGTTGGCAGAAGAAGCATCAAAGATAGGACTTCAGGTGAACATAGAGAAAGCAGAAGTAGGTGAAGAAAATTCCTGGGTAACACGAACAGCAACAACAGACAACGGTTAGCATAAATGGGAGGAACTTGAAAGAAACAACCTCCTTTACGTACTTGGGAAGCATCATTTCAACGACAGGGGAACTGATGAGGATATCAAAGCAAGGATCGGAAAAGCAAGACAAGCTTTCACTACTCTCAAGTCTGTGTGGAGGTCAACAACACTCAGCATCAAAAATCAGATCAGGATCTTTAACTCCAATGTGAAGTCAGTGCTACTATACGGATCAGAGACTTGGCCAGCGCGTCATAAAGAGCATCTCAAACAAACTACAGACCTTCATTAACAGTTGTCTTCGCTCTATACTCAAGATCAGATGGCCGGCCAGAAAAGATCAGCAACAGAGATCTCTGGGAGCGAACCAACAGAGCAGGAACCGATTGTGAAACAAATAGGCAGGCAGGAAGAAATGGAGATGGACTGGCTGGCCATACTCTTAGGAAACCATCAAGTGACATCACTAGACAAGCCATCGCTCGAGTGGAACCCGAAACGGAAGCGACAAGTTGGTCGTCAGTGCAAGGGTGACTTGGAGGAGGTCATGTGAAGAGGAGATGAAAGCGTGTGGGCAGACATGGAGCCAGATGAAGACTCTAGCAGAGAACAGAACGCAATGGAGACGCACGGCTGAAGTCCTATGTTCCTGTAGGAATTAAAGGATATAATAATAATAATAAATAGAGAGCCATTGAAAATCGAACAGGGAGTACTGAACACTTGTTTCATTCTTGTTTGAGAATCATCGCCAGTATGTACCCACCACAGTAGGGTTCGAACCCAGGACCTTCCAGTTACAAGGCGATATGCTTCATATACCATTCAGCCACTGGGACCTGATTCAATGGCCAGCCCATGAATTCTAACTTCTATCCATTCCTGATGCCTTTAGCGCATCCCCAACTATGTCATCGGTGGGAAATCCATCCTCACACTTGATTGGATGGACCTCAGTGGTCACGACTTCTCACTAGAACTCCAGGAAACCCCATATGTATTATTAATCAACAGAATGTAGGCTTCGTTGGAGGAGGGTAGAGAGTGAAATTCACTTGTGTGCGAGGAAAATGATTACCACAAAATACATAGAAAGAAATACCCGAAAATTGAGAAACAATGAATGTTAATTCAAGGGCTGACAGATATCAAGTGTATTGATAAAATAAAGATCTCAAACTGTCATCTGTAATAAAATACTAGAGACATAATAAACTCAGTGTACATTACAAAGGTTGACACGCATAATAAGGATAATATTGGAGTTAAGTTAATTAGGTGAAGAGATATAAGAAAGGCATAATATTGTAACAACAGAAGACAAGGGCCAGGCAACAGAACGGTTATTATGGAAAATCAACACATATTTATAGATTTTGATGTACATTATTGTAGGTTAATGTTGGTAGAAAATACAGTCTGTTGATTGGTTGTTTCTCACACAAAGTTAACCTTGCATCTCTTTGTGGCTGTGTCAGTTCATCTATATGTTAACTGTATCCGCCTGTCCATCTTGACCTTGTTTTCACATGACTAACATTGACCTCAATTACTGTCAACCAATTTAGCTAGCAACCATCTCTCACCACAGCAGGACCCCAGATCATGTCATTGGTGGGAAATCCATCCTCACACTTGACTGGATGGACTTCAGTGACATGAAAATATCAGATGACTGTTTCCCTAATTACCTTATAGTAGGCCAGATTTACCAGTGAGGATGAATGTGCACAAAGGTTGGGTTTCTTCTTATCAGTTTCTAAATATCCTGCCATGCCTAGGAGACGAAATCGTGTGCCTTTAGCAGATTATCTGTTACCCGATATACAACCGTAAATGACTCGTCTATTTTGATGTGGTCTTCACTACTACTACTAGATGAGTCAAAATAGTACTATTTATTGATCTGGTTACACTTTTTCCAAGCCAAACAGGAACATGTTCACGACAGCGTAAAGATAAATCCTCCTGAGTTTGACCTATATATCTAGCTCAATATGAGCAGTCGAACTTGTGTGCTCACATTGATGTGGCCATCTTTGATAATTATCTTTGGTGCACGATGTCAGTAACGGTCTGGTTGAGAAACTGATGTGTAATTCTGCAGCACTGAAAGTTCTTTTAACTGATTTGATCAACCTGTGGCTCAATTTATCGCTGAACCTATCAAGAGATTTACACATTGGATCACAGAAATCATTAAAAGGACAGTTTCAGAGAACAAAATTTTCTTCTCGACGAAGTCATCAACTAAGCTGTACATTCGTGTGATTTATATTACACGTGTGAGAAAGTTCCAGAATTATTTCCGGTCAGAGGTCAGATTAATAAAATTACAGAAGATAGGTAGTGGCACTAATCTAGAAATATTTCAGGCCATAGGTCAAATTAAAAATTACAATATGTAATAATCAGAAAGATCGGTTAGAAAAGACGAAATAGGACTATAATTACTAGAAAACTAACCAGTTTGTATGATTACGGGTTAAGGATGTAGTATAAACGAAATGGGTAGTAGGTTCGGATATATAAAAAATAAAAACAGTGACCAAATCTAATAATGGAGATAGGGATTCAAAAGTTAAATATAACAAATAAGTGGTAAGGTTGGATAAGAAGGGTAATAAGATAATCATTATTGGTGAGACTGACTTTTCATGATGGCCACGGTAGGGAAAACGGTGGGACGTATTTCTTTTGAACACATATAGTGGGCTTGAGTTTTTGGATCGCCAGTGCCTTAGTTATTCCTAGATGTATTGATTTCACTCCCTTTAGTAGGTTACATGGGATCTTGTATATGGCTTTGAAGGACTTTTCATATGGGGCTGAATGTCTAGAATTCACCAAATGTTCTGTTATCGAACCGTATACGCCTTGGTGTTCTCCCTTTGCTAGCCATGCTGGATAGTGTTCTCGAGCGCGTTTTTCAAGTGGACGCATGGTACGGCTAATGTACTCGGCTCCACACGAGCAAGTGAACTTGTATATGCATGTTGAAGTGGCCCAACAGCTTGTCTTTTACATGTTGGGTGAGTAGTGTTTTTGCAGGAGAATGTTACTCGCAGGCTGGCGGCGAAGTATGTTTCACTGAGAGATTTATATGTCCGAACCTCCTACCCATTTCGTTTATACTACATCCTTAACCAGTAATTACACAAACTGGCTAGTTTTCTAGTAATTATAGTCCTATTTTGTCTTTTCTACCCAATCTTCCTGATTATTACACATTGTAATTTTTAATTTGACCTTTGGCTTGAAACACTTCTAGAATAGTGCCACTACCTATCTTCTGTAATTTTATTAATCTGACCTCTGACCGGAAATAATTCTGGAACTTTCTCACACATGCAATATAAATCACACGAATGAACAACCCAGTTGATAACTTCGTCGAAAAGAAAATTTTCTTCTCTGCAACCGTCTTTTTATTATAGAGATATATTCAGCCATCAATGTTGCATTGAGTGTGCGTCATTTATTTGTAAGTACTTTGTGGTAATCATATTTCTCTCACACCAGTGAATGTAAATCACTACCTCTATTCACATTTTATTTTGTGTTCTGAATGTCTGTACATTTTATATACCTTCAAATCGACAATATTATCCAACGAACTACTATTCCATCTTGTACTTGTACCCCAACAGATTTACTGAAATAAATTTCACTTACCCTCATTGACTATTTGCATTCTAATGGATTCATGGATTTATAACTGTAGGGCACAGAAGAAAAACCTGAAAACTTTTTATTTGGTGAAATAATGAGCCTGAAAGATAATCTGAGACTTAATTGGTGGATGGTGACTAGCAGTGGAATCCAGTCAGGATACGCAATTCGTCCTACCTGGGACTCGTCATCTGAATGTACCTTTCCACAGTAAGTGATGATGTTCCCACAGAGGCTCGAACCCAATGCCCATAGTTTCAAACGCCAAGGCGTTACTCACTAGACCGCTTGAGCCACGAGAGCCACCTCTTGTGTGCAACGGGTCATAATAATTATTTAACTGAATTTTAGATTTTCCTGTCGATTGACTGGACCGAATCTAGGACAGTTTCCATTTCAATTCTCAATTTTATATTGGGCTCTTCGTATTATATTGTGCATCGGCGTGTTCATTAACCTCAAAAATGACCTTAAATCAGTCAGTATATTGCCTAAATTACAATTCCGATCGCTACATGAACCTGCTCAAAGATTTAGTTTTCTGTAATACGGAACACTCCTTAACAGAAATGAAGAAAAAGGATTTTTAAAGTTTGGATATTGCGACAGATGGAGAAATAGAGGGTTACTCGATGTACCGCCGAATTCCATGTTACTGAAATGGCCAGTTAGAAGTGTAGATATTTTGAAATTTAAATACGCTGAGTATTTTATACCATATTTCAACATTTAGCCTCGAATACAGCTATTATTATTATTACTATTAAAAAGCCCTATGTTTAAGTCGGAACGCACGGATTGAAAATGAATACACCATGATCATGCTAAACTATTATTTAGAATTTTTCTTCTCCAAAAAACTGGAGGGTTATTTTCAAGTCGCAATAAAACTATTAACCTTTATTATTCAGGTTGTATTCAGCTGACAAGAGATACCGACGAAATAAAATAAATCCATTTTATGCTGCTTCATTCTCATTGTCTGTTAAAATTCATTAAGCTGCACTCATCACTTCTCAAACGGGTTCCATCCGATAATCTGAGGTATGCTTCCGCTTAGTGGTCTCGTCACCATGTATCCAACCCATACTCACTTCCTATTCAATATTTCCTGGGCAATAGGTTCTTTCTTGGTCCATTGCACAGACAAGGGTTCCAGTCGTTTATTCTTTTCGACGGTTATTCTGAGCTCCACTATGGAGTTGAAACTCTGCATTGCCTTACTGGAAATGCTTTCGATGTAGGACCATGTCTCTGATCATGTACCTTACTCTGAATGCAGCAGGATTTCTACACTCTTTTCAGAGTCATGATCGTTTGGTTGGCTTCGATTTTATTTTTATATACTCTTCTGTGATTTCAAATTTCTGTAGCGATTGTGTGGGTTTGCAGGGGTAGGGTGGCTATCGCCGCGCCTAACCTTCCGTCCTCTACCGAGGATACAAACGGCTAGTAAACAAGGGGAGCCTATGTTTTCATTAGCTAGGTAATTATTTCAAACCGAGATTTCTGACCGGTTATAATCTTGACAAAGAGGAGAGGTTAGGCATGAGGCTGGCAACCCTACCCTGTAAGAAGAAACACCATTGCTGCTGAACCTTCAAAGCTATAGCTTGAAGCCCTATGCTCCATTTGCAACGCAAAACGAATTTTAAAAAGGTTAAACCGGTCTCTTAAATATACCAATATCTTAGAAAGTAAATAATTAATGCGTTGGTGGTACAGCGAAAGAATGCTCGCCAACTGCGCATGTGGTCCGAGGTTTGATCCCCGGCCAGCGCACTCCTTTACCCCGATAAATCAGTAATAAGTATTTTAAAGAGGGAAGGTTGGGCCAGGTGAGGCTAGCAACCCCACTCCGTAAAATTAAACACCGCTACTATTGAAAATTCAAGGCTCTAGCTTGGATCTTCGTGTTCCACTAAGAAATCAAAGGAATAAAAAGCTACTTTGAAAAAATTACAGGATATTTCCCAGTCATCTTACGATGACAATATTCTTTGTGAGTTTTACAGATCGTTATACTTACTCAGAAAAACTTTAAAGAAGTTGAGTGAATTACTAAAACTTAAAAAAATATTAAAATCATATTTTTAAGATCAGATCAAAAATAACTAACTAACCACTGTGTCCATTTCTAGCTGCATGATGAACAGGAGAACAGTTCAACGAATCAATTTGATTGATATTACAACCATGTCGAACAAGAACCTTCAAAAAAAGATGCAGAAATATGTGAATAGTTTCAAAGTGTTAGCAAGATTTATTAAGATCAGAAGAATTTATTCCCAACCGTCAGTGGGTTTGCAGTTCTTCGTGATAGATTTCCTTATTGAACGGGAAATTTTTTCTATGATTCTGCATTGCTTTCACACGGACATGAGTATGATTCGGATACAGTCAGAAAAAATTTGCAGTCGTGACAGATGAGCTCCGAATAACACTGCTCATAAGCTGCTTAACACAAATCGGACACTCATAAAAACAGTTTCAAAAGTCTGAAGGAACATGATAAAAGGTGTAAAATACGTTTCACTGACGTAACCATAGTTTTCATACTCTTTTAGACTAAAAACAACTTTAAAAGCTTTGCGACTGGTTTCTCGTGAGAACAGATACCAAATGTCAAAAGATATCAGATGCCAAATTATATCAATGGTTGCACAGTACCATTTGAATGGATCTAAAATTCATCAAGCATGATCAGCCTAATAGTTGAACGGTAATGTAATCATTTCGGTACTCATCCTTTTATATGTTGATCTCCGACAAGGTCGTGAATGACCACTGTTGAATTATCCTCAGCTAGAATCAGGCATATATCTGGTAATCAAAACTTTTAATCACCTTTCTGAGGGTCTTCAGATCACTGAGACATCTCGTTCGTAAAAGTGGAACCAGTGAAAACCTAGCGGGACTGCAACACTCACTGGGGAATGCAGGTGCATCTAGTTGACTGATCTCGTACGGGACGCAATGCACCATCCACTATAAAACACTCTGTAGATCCCCAAGACATCGTCAGAGCGATAGTGTAAGCAGCTAGCATGTCAGTTGGTAGTGAAAAATTCGGTCCAGTGTAGCGGAAAGATACTCCGTTGTCCAGTCCAATAAAGAAGAAACGTCATGAAGTTGCATTTTCCACATATCTTCCAAAGCAATTGTTAGTTGAGACACTTCACACCAAATAAACATTGATATTTTATTTTGATTACAGCTTGATTCCACACAGTACTTGTGGTACAAGTATGGAATTTTCAGCATACGATATCGGCAGCTCACATTTTTCAGGCCGACCATTGATATCAGGTGTGCGTCGGCAGGGAATCAAACTTCGGACCATGTACATGGTCGACGAGAGTCATAACCGCTGTGCCACCGACGCAAAGGTGTTGCACTGCATTCGATAAATGGCAATGCAAAATCATTCAAACTTATTAACTTAGAAAGACGCTTCAATTTACCTCTGTGTAACGAAATAGTTTCTGCCTATAGTCGTCATACAAAACAATACTGGGATGAATTTAGCAAACTTAAACCAAGTTTATCGATAGCTTTTTTCAGAGATAGCTGTATATACCGAATCAAAGGGGTTAACATCCACAGGCTATTTCATCCCAAACCAAGTGTCCATCTGTCAAACAAACTCGACTTGTAGTTTGAAGGTCCTAGATTCAGCCACTCTAGCAACGTGATGGATACTCGCTGCTGAAGTGTCCCAAGCAACGATCTATCTACTGTCCAATGAGCCTTGGTTTTCGGTGATCCTCGAACCGATATAGGCTTGTCACTGGATGTATACTGGGATGATTTTTTAATTCGCGGTTTTAAAAATTTGAATTATATTCAGTTAATATATGTGTAAAACATAAGTAATGCGATATTGTGTAATTGCGTATTTATTAATTTATTGGATGTTTCACAGAGTGAAACAATATTATTTTCAGCAAAGTTTACTGGCCATACTCACATCATCAACTGTGACCAGACATATTCGAAATTCAAGTTTTACAATTCCCTTAATCCCTTCCCATTTATCGTTGAAGCAGTAGAATTATCCAGATGTCTGGGACAGTTATTGAATCATTCCTATAAGAATAAAACTTGTGCACTGTGGAAGAGTGTAATTCCATTATGGGTAAATTTTATTTTGATAAAGTCTCACAGTGTTATACAGTAATGTTTTTACTGATGACGTTTCGAGCATAATTTATTGCTCATAATCATATCAAGTTAATCACACGACTTCCTAAATTCATTTATATAGTTCCATTGTTTTTCACTTGATTTTCACTTGATTTGATTGGTAGTATTATTTTCCATATTTCGGGTATTAGTGATGATTCATTCCTATTGCACGTGTTGGGTGTAGATTCGATGAACAAAGATTCAGTAATCAACCTCTCTCGCTCTCCAACTACCTAGATTACTTTTTAGAATTTTAACTCTCTACCACCCTATTGTGTGGTTGTGTGTTAATGCATGCATTGCAATTGCTGAGCCTTTTTCTAAATTACTTATCTTCTCTGGGTCAACCTGAATCCTTGTTCATCGAATCTACACCCAACATATGCAATAGGAATGATTCATCACTCTTACCGAAATATGGAAAATATTACTACCAATCAAATGAAGTGAAAATCAAGTGAAAAACAATGGAACTATATAAATGAATTTAGGAAGTCGTGTGATTAACTTGATATGATTATGAGCAATAAATTATGCTCGAAACGTCATCAGTAAAAACATTACTGTATAACACTGTGAGACTCTATCAAAACAAAATTTACCCGTAATGGAATTGAATCATTCCTGTTGCACATGTTCTCAGCTGATTATATGGATAAAGAATGAGTTGTCAATATCTCCCCTCACCGTGGTACACAAGATCTTAATTTCGTTGTTTTGTTCTGTTCTATTGCAGTTCGACAGTTGGGATGTTTTTAAATTATTTATTTTATTAGGGTCGACTAGGCTGTTGTGCTCCGTTGATGTAACTGGCCCTAGTCTACTACTTTACTTATGTAATTGAAATTACAATAACCGGACGGTGTCAGATAAATTAAACTATCTTGTTTATTGGCCTCCATGGAATCTGTCACTTATGTCGTTCTTATGTTTGCTTTGGAGTTCAGTTTTACAATTTTTGTATACTGCCTGATCAATTTATCGAGGTGTAGAAGCTGTTCTTATATGTCTACTTCCCATCTAACTTTGATTTTATGTGTATGTATGTGCGTCGGTGACACAGCGGTTAGGACTCTCGCCGACCATGCATATGGTCCGAGGTTCGATCTTCCGCCTACGCGCACCTGATATCTATGGTCAGCCTGCTAAATTTGGGCTACCGATATCACATGCTGAAAATTTCATACTTGTACCAAAATACTGTGTGGAATCAAGCTATAATAAAATATATAATATAAGTATAAATATTTAAATCCAATTCATATCTCGCCTTTTTAGTACCGTAAATGAATCGTCTACGTATCTCCATCATACTCTAAGTGTGGGGCTGAAAGTTTCAATCACTAATTTGTCCCTAAGTGACTTATCATATTTAATAATTTCGTCACTTCTTTTGTGGGCACCTTGTGATGAAAAGTCTTGAAGTTCACCTACTCATTAAGGCTTGTGATTTTATCCACTTCCGAGCTTACTGTGGAAAATGCATGATAGTAGGCGTTTCTACCCATCGGGTTGCGTACGTAGGACGAAACACCTGTCCAGTACTCCCTGTTGGTTTTCCAGTGGTTTTCTAACCGATTTCAGCTCATGATGAAATCCTGCAACCAATGAAACTAAATTAGCGATAGTTACAGGCTTTTCCAGAAAGCCAACTACACCTGTCGTGTTTCAGTTGGATTGATGGGAAACATGTCCGCCTGAAAATCTTAACGTCATTGTTTTATATGAACCAAACAACAGGAAGTCAGCCCTCACTGGTTAGTCCATGCTGAAGGTCAGTATTAGAACCATCTAAAATTGACTGCATGGAAAAGAGCAGAATGACAATGTGCCAGTGAAGCCTAAAGTTCCACTCGGAACCCTAGGGGACAATAACAGTAAGAATTAATACAGTAACGACTTTCAAAATATAAAATCTTTTTCCTCAGAATATTTCCACAAAAATATTTGTACAGTGCATTCATTACATGACAGAAACGACATAAGATTGTGAAACATCAAAAGGGGGAAATCAACTCAGACCTACTTCAATACATTTTGGATTCCCCCAGGCTGCTGCAGCATGAATCGGCATCATTCCTGTTAATTCATCTGCATATAGCGAAACCTGCATTATTCAAAAAATAAAGTATTCACTTGTCAGATTATTTCTGATGTGGGACGTCATAAAATTGTAGGTAAAAGCGTTTGTCGCATGTTATGAAGGTAGTTCATTATGTTACTTGATAAAGGTGGGTGCTCATTTCATTCTCTTCAGGGATCTTTAGCAATCCTGCAATCCTCAGTATATGATGTGGCGTCTCTTGTGAAATTCTAACATAGCACCCATTGTTTCAAACCGCAAGGTGGGAAACACTCGACAACTTAGGACACAGGGCTTAACCCACTGATGTCGGCTCATGATGAAATCCTGTAACTAATCAATCAAAATCCCTACCCAACAATACTTGAAAATCAATGAGATACTCACTAACGACTGGCTGTATTCAGGTAGGTAGGGTTCCGGTGGGAAGTCGTGACCAGTAGGGAGCAGCAGGTCGGGTGTGAGGACAAATACTGTCCGGAGACGAAATTGGTTGGCTGTTGCACTATGTCGTGAATTAGCAGGCAGAAGCTGGGATTCATGGGCTGGTCATCGGATCGGGTCCAACTGACTTAGTAGTCTACCAGCTCGCGTTGTATCCATAAACTCCTGAGTATGAATATTGTCTGATCCGTCGCCATTTCTTTCCACATATATGGTGGGAGATAGGTTCTTGACTGTGTAGTTGCTAAAAGTCTTTGTTATTTATACCTTCCGAC